TGATGGGCGAGATGAGCTTTCTGTGTCCTTTGAGACCCTTTGTCTAGGAAGGGGCTGCTGTGAGTGACGTTGGGGACAGAAGGGAAGGAGGAGCCCTCACTCCCAGGTGGTGCTGCTGCGTGCACCGGGGCCAATGGTGTCAGCAGCAGGAGCATCAGAAGCACAAGTCACAGGCTGAACCTGAGCAGCTGCTGGGGCCTCGCCCTCCCAACAGATGAGAAAGGGGTTCTGCTTTCAGTTCTCATGGGCCTGGGACTCTGTGTGAGCCCACGATGCTGTCCCAGGAGGGACAGGGACCAGAAGCCTCCTCCTCAGCCCTCAGCCCTCAGCCCAGGGAAGATCTGGGAGCCAGAGTTGCTAGACATGGAGCCAAAGAGGGAATCAGGATCCACAATGGATCCGACTATCATAATAGATGAGGATTTAGGGGCAATTAGTGGGAGCTTTTGTTACCAGGACACATAGCGGACACTCCCGATGTGTCCTGACTCAGACAGAGCTGGATTTGTGTTCCTGTTTCTGCTGTGACCTGTCATGGACCCTGTCCTCAGGGCAGCCTGCCTTTGGCACCCAGGAATGTGCTCAGTTTGAGAAAATCACACAGTATATTGATCCCAAAGACAGGCTTCAAGGATGAATAGCAAAGAATGTGGAAAGACTTTGTAGACTTATTGCTTGTGGAGGGTCTCAGACCCTAATTTGTACAAAACAAACAAGGAAGCACATGACTTGGCCAAAAAGTCAGGCCTGCACAGGAAGTCCCATTGCTGTGGGGACAGCAGGTTTTTGTCTCACTTCCCCACAGGCCTGGAGCACTGTGTCAGCACCTTGAGTAATGTCAGCAGACAAGCAGTAATAATCAGCCTCGTCCTCTGCCTGGAGCCCAGTGATGGTCAAGGAGCCTGTGTTGCCAGACTTGGAGCCAGAAAATCTGTCAGGAACACTTGAGGGTCGTCTGTTATTAGCATAGATGAGGAGTTTAGGGGCCTTTCCTGGAAGCTGCTGGTACCAGTTCACACCAACAATACCAATGTTGTTGGCACTTCCAGCGCAGGAGATGGTGACCGTCTGGCCCAGGCCCCCAGACACTGAGGGCGGCTGAGTCAGCACAGACTGGGCCCAGGACCCTGGAAGGGGAGAGACAATGAGAGCGTGATGCTGGGGTCTAGAGACCAGAGGAGAATCCAAGGCCCACGTGTCCTCCCTGGACCACTTCCTCTGTTCCCTCATCTAGTCACCTGTGCAGTGGATGAGGAGGGTGAGGAGAAGAGGGAACCGGGCCATGGTGGAGGTCATCACCGACCCTGCCTTCTGTGGATCCACAGCTGAGCAGATCTCCTCTAATCCCTTCCTTCCCCTTTTCATCCCCTGAGAGAGGGAGGGCCCATCCATGCAAATCAGACCAGCAGCTCTCTGGCACTTCACTGACCCTGGGTCAAGTCCCTCTGCCTGAGGATGTCAGGTGGGTTGGACGGGAAGGTGGTCTCTGGGGCCATGCCAGGAGAGGGGAGGTCACAGTTTGGAGTCCTGAGCAGAGGGCACAGGCATTGTCCAGGTGCAGGTCCCAGCTCTAGTCATGGCCGACCCTCAGAAGCAGGTGACGACCACCCCCTGGTGTCCAGGCCCAGACACAGCATATGTGACATGGAGAGCAGATCTCATCAGAGTTCCTGCCTTCCCACTGCTCTGTCCACCATCCCCTTCCTTCGGGACAGGCCAGGTGTCCCCTGTGTGGCCTCCGATCCCCTGAGGACACACTGTGCTCTCCTCTGGCTCCGCATAGTGAGTCTGTCCACAGCGCCCTTGGCTATTATTGATGGGGCAGCACTGACGTGGTGACTCTTGTACAACCACACAGATGAGGATCAGGGCCACAGATCGATGGGTCCACATTGACACATGGCCAGTTCTGTGCAGGAGGCCGACTTCTTCCCCCTTCCCTGCTTCCTCTCTGGTCTGAGAGTTTTCCTTTCCCAGAAGCTCCCTCAGCACTGAGGACACAGGGACAACTTTTCTCCAGGTTGTGGGTAGAAGCCCACATCACTCGTGTGCATTCCTACAGGATTCCACACTGAAAATCTTTGTCAGCTGTCACTCTTGCCACCTCACATCACATACTGGGGACGTTGGAGGTTGGCTTCACCCCTGGGGAGACCCCTGCAAGGAAGCACCTGTTGAGACAACACACATGTCCTTGCTCAAGTGGGGACTCTGCCACACCAGAATGGACGCAGCTGCTGAGTCTCCCTCAGGAAGTACAGGGCCCAGTCCCCAGTCCCAGGTTCCTTTTAGTGAATGGTCCCCACTGAGGCCCTGTGTAGGGACGACAGGGCAGTCCCACAGCGCCCCCTCCTGGCTGAAGGGCACACA